AGTAATGGAATTCCTAGTCAGATCAGATCAATTATGCACAAATAAATAAATGGCATCAAAATTAGAAAGGATGATGTAAAATTACCTCTGCAATAATATGATCTTATAGATATATTGAAAACTCTAAAATTCCACCAAAATACTATTAAAATCAGTAAACAAATTCAGTAAAATCCCAGAAACAAAAACAACATACAAAATCAGTTGCATGTATACACTATAAATAAGCAATCTGAAAAGGTAAGAAAAGGATCCCATTTACAATAACATTAAAAAGAATAAAATACTTTGGAACAAAGTTACCAAGGAGATACAGCAACTAACACACTGAAAAGTACAAAATATTGCTGAAAGCAATTAAAAAAGACACAAATAAATGAAAACAGAGTTACAGATTCAAAGAAATATTTATCAAAATCCCAATCACATTTTTTACAGGAACAGAAAAAATAACCTTAAAATTCATATGGAATCACAAAAGACTCTGAAGAGCCAAAACAATCTTGAGGAAGAACAAAGCTGGAGGCCTCATTCTTCCTGGTTTCAAAATGTTACAAAACTGTAGTAATCAAAACAGTATGGCACAGACATAAAGACGGACGTATAGACCCACTGAACAGAATGGAAAGCCCCGACATAAATCCATGGTCCATTTGTTCTTTGACAAGGGTGACAAGAGTACACATGGGAAAAAGATAGTCTCTTCCACAAATGATGTAAAGAAAACTGGATATCCATGTGCAAAAGAATGAAATTGGACCCTTATCTCACATCATACAAAAATCAACTCACAAAAATGGATTAAAGATTTAAACAAAAGACTTGAAATTGTAAAAGTCCTAGAAGAAAACACAGGAAGAAAGCTTTGTGAAATTGGTTTTGGCCATGATTTCTTGGACATTACACAAAAATTATGGGCAACAAAAGAAAAATAGACAAGCAGGACTATATCAAACTAAAAAGCTTCTACACAGCAAGGGAAACAATTAACAGAGTTAGAAAGCAAGCTACAGAATGGGAGAAAATATTTGCAAACCATATATCTGATAAGGGGTTAATATCCAAAAAATACAAAAACTCCTGCAACTCAGTAGTAAAAAAAACCCATGTAATCCAATTTGAAAATAAATAAAAGACTTGAAGAAACATTTCTACAAAGAATACATATAAATGGTCAGCAGGTATATGAAAAGATGCTCAGAATCACTAATCATCAGGGAAATGTAAGTCAAAGCTGCAATGAGATAACACCTCACAACTATGAGGTTGGTCATTATTTTTAAAAAGGTGCTGGTGAGGATGTGAGGGAGCCTTGTGTGCTGTAGGTAGGAATGTAAAATAGTGCAGTCACTACAGAGCACAGGATGGAGGTTGCTCAAAACATTAAAAATAGAACTACCCTATGATCTAGAAAGCCCACTTCTGGGATTTCTCCAAAAGAGTTGAAATCAGGATCTCAGAGATATCTGTACTCCCATGTTCATGGCTCACTATAGCCAAAAGGAGAAAACAACCTAAATATCTGTTACCACATGAACAGATAAAGAAAAAGTGGTGTGTACACGCAATGGAGTATTATTCAGTCTTAAAAAAGAAGGAAATTCTGTCAAATGCTGCCACATGGATGGACCTTGAGGACATTATGCTCAGTGGAACAAGCCAGTCCCAGAAGAATACTGTGATTTCACTTATCTGATGTATCTAAAGTAGTCAAATTCGACAGAAAGTAGAATGGGTGGGGATAGGGAGAAATGGGGAATTGCTGCTCAGTGTATATAAAGTTTCTGTTATGAAAGATGAGAAAGTTTTAGAGACCCACTGTACTTTATTGTTAACATTTTGCTATAGTTAATGATTCTGTAAAGTACACTTAAAATTTGTTAAGAGGGCAGTTCTCATGTTATACAATTTTTACCATAATAAAAACAAAAAGACATATGCCTTTAACTATAAAAAAAAAAGAGAGAATCTGTTTTCTCTGTATCCTCCATCAATCTTAGCTGGGAAGCTCTAGGCAGGCCTGGCTTGGCCTCAGGACCTCATAATCTTGGGTGTCTGACCTTCTTCTTAGCATTATTTTTTAACAAACATTGATTTTATACCTCATATTGATCACACAAACAAGTCAGAGTGAAACACTATAGACCTGTAATGCCCGGATTTCCAAGCACACAGGCCCAATTCAGCCTTTTTATATATATGGTAAGTTGCCAAACTGGTCACAGTGCCCCATCCCTTCTATAGTCTTGACCTTGGGATGTAACCATAGCACCTACCATGAGGGAGTGCAGTCCATTTCCCCACACTGATGCTTAAATAGCCCCATGACTTGCTTTGGCTAATAAATGCAACAGACATGATTCTTCTAGGTCCCTGTCCATCCTAGGACCTGCCACCACCACCCACTGAAGGGGCCGTCCTTGACCAGCCAGCCCCCAGCTGGTCTGGAAATTCTCTGCAGACACTTCAGTGAGGCCAGCTTGCATCAGCTGAGTCTGGCCCAGATCAGATAAGCCCAGTCCAAACTGTTGATCCACAGAACCATGAACTAAATAAATGGTGGTGTTTAAAGCCACTATATTTGGGGGTGATTTGTTACACTGCAACTACTAACTGATACAATATATATCCCCAGTTCTCATGATCTCACAGTTGTTCATCTGTATCAGTCCCCTTGAGATCCTCCCCAGAACCTCTCCTCAGAGGGACTGCATGCAACTCCTCCTCTAATTACTATTTACATGAGGCTTTTTATTATCGCACTAAAATAAGGGAAAGGCCTGTAGGTTGTCTTGGTGCTAATCAGTTCAGCCTCAGATGGACTTTCCACTTTGGTCGGACTGCAGCTGCCTTGTTGGCTCACCCTAGACTACAAATGTTAGCCTCCTCGTTTTTTCCCCCACAGGTCTTGGAAGCATGTAAGTCTTCCCTTTCATACACAAGGGACTAGATTTCACACATCCTTTTCCACCCTGGACCCCATTCTTCATCATACATGCCTCTGATGAGTGCTGCCCACTCTATGACTCTACCGGAAGAGCCAAATACAGAGATCAGTTGAGAGTTTCTCTGAAACTCTTCTGCACACTGCATTCATAAGACACCCTTCCTTCTTAATTTTGCACATGTAATTTTCTCTATTTTAGCTCCACAGAGTTTCCATTGCTCCTTCTTGAAGTAGAAACTTCTCCCCACATGTGGTAGACAAATTTGTTTCTGCCTTCACAATACCCATTTTCCATTTTCAACAGCACTGACATTTTCCAAGGGAACTAACTTCTATCTTCTCAGATAAGTGTGCTGAATGTAGTCATCTCAAAGTGGGCACATGACCTGGTGGTGGCCAATCAGAGCATGCCCCCCTCTGACCAGTGATTGGTTCTTATTGAGGCACATGACTCCATCAGACCCTGTCAAATTCAAGTCTAGGACTTAGGTGGAAACTTCCAGAAAAGCACTCCCCTTGTCACTGGGAATGTTGAAAAGACAAGAAATTAGGCCAGAGTGTTGTGCAGCCATCTTGTCAGTATGAGGAGAAATCCTGCCCAAAAATGAAGCAACAGATGCTGACCATGTTAATGATGTAATTTAAGCCTTTGGAGTAGTCAGCTAAAGAAGCTACTGTGGGCTTTTTTTTACTTTTTTTTCTTTTTCGGTTAAACCAGATGGAATGAAATTACTGTTGCTTGCAAGCAAAGGTGTTCTAATATATCTCACATTCTTCCCTTTATATGAATGAGAACTTACCACTGTTAAATGGCAAGCAGGAAAAGTTATATGAAGTTGAGGAAGAAGTAATCTTGGCAACAGTAAACAAGGTGACAGATCATCCATGAGGTGGGGGTCACTGGCTTGGAAGGGGCTGAACCTCTCGGTGAGGCTGGTGTCTATGTTTTGATTAGGGTATAACATGTTATATCAAATGTATATAACACTCGATATAGTGAAATATGTATATCATATAAATAATATATATTACATATGATATCAATAATACAACTTGCATGGGTTACCCATGTAAATCAAAGCTTACCAAACTATCCTCATAAGGTCTGTGCATTTCCAGACATGAAAAGTACAGCACAGGGATTATAGTTAATAGTATTATAATAACTTCTGAATTGTGTCAGACCATAACTGCTACTGTGGTGAGCATTTTGTAAATGTATATAATTGTCAGAACACTATGCTGTTTGACATATTATATGTCAACTGAACTTCAATTTAAAAGTAAAAAAATAAAAGGTGCATAGAAGTCTCTAAGAAAAAGATCTGTGCATTTCACTTTACATAAAGTTATACATCATTTAAAAAATATTGCATTCACAATTCCCTTACCAGTCCCCCTCCCGTCTTCCACACAGCCTGTTGGGGTCCTGTTCAGATTCTGCACAGGCTCTACCTGCCTGTCCCCTTCCCCACACACACCTTGCCTTTCTCTGGGGTCATGGGGCTTGTAGCAGTTTTAAAACAGAGCTGCACATTTTTGATCTTCCTCCCACTGAGGGGCAGGTCTCAGCCACCTCCCCTGCCCTTGAATGTGGACAAGCTCATGATGACTGAGACCAATCAGGTCAGTGGCTGTGCCGTAATATGACTTTCCAGGCTGGGTCCTCATCTGCCTTGCTTGCTGACACCTGAGCTCTCAGAGCCATGGGCTGCTGTCTAGAAGTCCAACTTCCAGAGTGGCCACTCTGGGACCACAACACATGGGCACCTGTCAGAGGTGACAGCTGAGCCACCACCAGCCCTCCTGGCCCAGGCACAGCAGTGAGAAGCCAGCTTGGAGGAGGACATCCCTGCCCGGCTGTCCCAGCCCCCGGCAGTCCCCTGACTCGCAGGCATACGAGGCAGCTGCCGAGGCCTACATATATGGATCCTTTCTGGATTCTGTACAGTCCACAAACACAATGGTCATTGTTTCTTGCCACTCAGATTTGGGGGAATTTGTGCCATAGCTGTAGACACTGGGGATGGTACTCTGCCACTCCTGGCCTTACCTCACAACATCCACAGATGCGGCCCCCGACTTGAAGAAATCAGTGGAGTCTTCCACTTCGGGGACATTGGGGAGAATCCGTTTCCAGGCACCCTGCAAAACAGGTGCAGTGACAACATGGGCCCTAGGGGAGCTGGAGCAGGCGTCAGCGGGGAGAGTGGCCCCTGGCGTGCCCACAGACACCCAGTGCTAGGCTGGGCTCTGTCCAGCCCGAGGTACTGTGGCTCCCAGGGGCCTGGCTGTTCTTCCCGGGGAGCTGGGGGCTCAGACCACACGGCGCTGCCTCAAGCCCACATCGGCTGGACCCCAGCTTCTCTGGATCTCCATGCCAGCCCACGAGCAACAGGAGGACAGGTGTGGGGGAGCTCAGGGTATGGCTGGGGACCAGGAGGCCGGGCTCAGCTGCTCTGGAGCCCCCCTCACAATCGGCCTCCCTTTGCTGCTGAGTCTGGTGTCCCTAGCATGACACTGGTGAGTAGGCGTTGCCACGTGGAAGGGACAGCAAAGTGCAGGGTGGTTCTGTGGGTGGAAATGAGGCACATTCATGGGGCTCGGGAGGCCTGGGTCATGTGTGACGGGCTGGCTGGTTGTGTGCCTTCTGACCCAGGACCTGTTGGGGGCAGTGGTGTCTGGCAGCTGGCCTGGTGGGAGAGCATGGAAAGGGCAGGGAGTGTTGCATGGCAGCACCTGTCTAGGCTCCTAGGAAGGCTGTCTGGCAGATCAGGATGGGATGACTGTCCTCTGGGCGGGCTCTGGGCCAGGCTCACTAGGCTGGTCACAGGCCTGGATCAGTGGTGGGCAGGCTCAGTTAGACCCAGTGCCCTGTGACCCCTGTCCCACCCTCTCCCTGGCCCCCTTCCTTTCTTGGAAAGGTGTCATGGACTTGCCCCTCCCCTCCTTTACGTGACATCAGCAGCCAGGCCCAGCTGCTCACTGAGCCTGTTTCCCAGTCTCTGCAAGCAGCTGTTAAGAGCTGTGGGAGGACTGCTTGCATAAGGCAGGCAGAGTGCTTGGAATACAGAAGCAGCTCAGTGGATGTTCCATTTGTGCACCTGCAGCACCGTGCACAGCCTCAGCCCAGGAGGGTGTGCAGCCACTGGGCTGGCTGCCCTGGGCCTGTCCTACCACAGCAGGCACAGGGGCTGACCCCCACCATGGCCACCAGGCCGGCCTGTCCTCCAGCACTGCACCCCCCCCATGCTGGCCTCCCTGCTGGGTCATCTCCAGACAACACATGCTGGAAAGGCCCAGCCCAGCTCTGACCAGCACAGAGGCCATCGGCAAGGCAGCGTAGGTGAGGACTCCAGCACTGCCCTCGTCAGCCGGTACTCCACCTCGACCTCCTCAGCTGGGAAGTGAGGGTGATGCGGTATCGCCTCACAGAGTCACGATGGTAGTTAAACACAGGCTACTCCTGAAGGGCCCAGTGCACACACTGTAGAGGGAGCTGCTTCCTTTGGTGGCTGATAGGCTCACTGACAGCACTAACTGGGTCCTTACAGGCGTCACCAAACAGACCCCCTTCGTGGGTGTTCTCTACCACACACAGCACCCACGGAGGCAGGCGTACTCTTCCCACCTCACAGATGAAGGACTCACTTGTGGCAGCCCCCGACACAAGCCTAGCCCTACGGGCACCCAGCTCACCCCACACCCGAGCCAAACCCCGTGGCAGGGCCAGGGCCAGGGCAATTGCGCCAAGATCTTTTTGAATGAATAGACTTTTTTTTAAATACACACTCAAAAGGTTTACCGTTCAACTAAGGAAGTTCTTGGTGCCCTCTGGGGCAGTGCAAGCTCATGTCCCTCCCTTACTGGGGCCTGTCCTCTGTACTTGTCACCAACACCCACAGTCACCGATGTGGCCGCCAATGAGCCTGCTCCTCCCATCGCAACCCTCCTCTCCATTAGCCCCGTGTGGTCCTGGGCACCAGGAGGCCCCCCAGCCCAGGCTGTGCATCTGCTGGCCCTGCCAGCTCAGAGGACTACCCCACCCTACTCAGCTCTCGGCTCAGAGCTCTCGTCCTCCCGCCCAGGAAGTCTGCCCCGGTGGTGCCTTCTGAGCTTGCCCGCCAGCCTCACAGCACTGCCCTCTGGCTGAAATTGTTTTGGTTATTTGCTTGCTGTTTACTGGCTCTCTTCCCCATGGGAAGGGACACTTCATGACAGCAGGGGCATTGCTTATTGTCATATTCCTAATGTCTGGCCACCACCCTGCCTGTGGTAGGAGCTCAATATGTGTTTCTTAAATAAGTCACTGAGTATATGATTGAGCAATGGTCAAAAATCCATCCCACACCCTTTGTTCAGTAAGGCTATAGATGGTCAGTGCCAGCCTTCCAGGGAGAAGGAGATGGTTGAGGGGAGCAGGAAGGGCCAGGAAGGGTTCTGGGAAGTGATCACGGACAGACATTTTCAGAGGGAAATGCTCTCCAGCTTCACACAAGGCAGTGGGACTGGAGTCCAGGTCTGCCTGACTATGGAACCCGTGCTGGTCTCGGTGCAGGATGTCCCCTCTCGGGGAGCCTTTCGGGGAGGTTCCAGAGCACCTGCTGTCATCATAGGACCTGAGCTTGACATCTGACCCTTTCAGCTAGTCCAGGGGCTTCACTTCATTTGCCCACTGCTGGCAGTGAGTCCCCAGAAGGGTCAGACCCACCCAGCTGGCCATGCCCCAGGGCACCAGTGGCAGGGGAAGGAGAGGAAAGGCACACCAAAAAGCCCCAAGGCAGGGTAGAGCTGGCGCTGTGCCTGGAGTCAGGGCATACATGGGCAGGGGGTGCACAGCCTGACTCCAGGCAGTGGATTCGAGACACCTGCCCACCCAGGCAGCAGCCCTGACGGGGGTCCCTACCCGCACAGCCTCGGCGGTGACCAGCTCCTCCTCTGTCAGCTCCAGGGTGCTGCTGTCTGCACCCCTGAAGAGGTGCGAGGCCGGGATCATCTTGCCGCCCTCCAGCTGGATGTTCTTCACCAGCAGCTGCAGAAGAGAGGTTTCCGCAGTGCCTGTGGCAGCCCTCATGGGGGAAAGGGAGCAACTCCACGCGGAGCGCTGGGCTGGGCACCCCACATGCATCACTGCCAGTGCTGGCCGAGAAGGGCACGGCGAGTCCCCCATGAATGAGAGGAGCCTGCTGCTCTCGGGGTACAGAGGAACCAGAGCGCATGCCCACCGAGACTTTGCTTTCCCTGCCACCCAACCCGCCATGCTTGCGATTTCTTTTTAAGTGTAATGGCTGACTATTTCTATAAAGAGAATGCCAATTCTATAGATAAAAGTAATGTAAGCACTACTTTGAAGATCCATCAAGGAAACAATCACCCAGTAGTCCTTTCCCAGAAACTCCATGGAAACATCTGGTAGCAGAGGTGGGAAGAGGAGCAGATGAACCCATGGATAGAGGAAGACACATCTGGTTGACAGGAGACCTGACAGAATTGGAGCCAGGTTCCCCGCCCGCGCCCGCCCAGCTGCCTTCTGGGGCTCCTCTGGAGCTGTCTGCATGCTGAAGCCCCACCAGGCCCAGCTGGAAGCTCCTGAGAGGCACTTCCACAGGAGGGCTCTGCACAGGCTTGCTGTCCCTGTGGGTATCACAGGGGATGCAGTTGGAGCCCCCCCAGGGCCCATCCTGGCTGGTGCCCCCACCCTCGAGCTGCTGCAATGGCGGGCCACTGGCAGGCTACATCTGCACTCTGCTCCTCAGTCACTGTTGGCGGGTAAGTATAGCCACTGCACAGAGGAGCCCAGGGGCTGTGCCTCATTCCCCCAGAACCATACCCCAGGGCAGCAGCGATTATCTGGGGCATAATCAGCAGCTGCAGTTCACACTGCAGAGCCTGCCCTGGGATCAGGTGGAGACCCAACTGCTCCGGAGCCCTTAGCTTTGCTTAGTGTTACCCCTGTCTCAGCCTGCTTCCTGCTGGGGTACATGATTTTCCAAGAGTGCTCCCTCCATAAATCAGGTGCCCAGGAGCTCCCAGCTCCAGTACTGCTTCTAGGGGACCTGACCCACAGCAGACATGGCCTTCCAGCTGCAGGGACCGACCGTGATTATCTAAAACAGCCAATCACTTGTAAACTACAGACCTCGATGGCAGCCTCGGGCCCCCAGAGGCAGAGCACGGCAGGGTGGGCACCCAGAGGGAGCTCGTGCCAGGCTCGAGGAAAGCTGCTCCATACTCGACTGGCCTGGACACATGCATGTGGCTGAGGGTTTGTGAAATTCCCCAAAGTGCTCAGAGACCCCTGCCTGTCCTCCATCCCTGTGCCAGCATCCTGAGGTCTGGACCTGCCTGTCCACTGCCCAGAGTGAGCATTGGTGGGGGAGTGTCATGGCCAGTTGTGGGCCTCAGAGCCAGAATTTGGGGGTTTAAATCCAAGATCTACCCCAGAACAGTCTGGGCAATGCTGGGCAGGTTATTTAAAATCTCTGTGCTTCAGTTTTCTCCTCTGTAAAATGGGTATAATATTAATTTATACCTCACAAGATTGTTGGGAAAATTAGACTCAATACATACAAATTGTTTTCAAATAGTGCTTGGCACCCAGAAAGTGCTCCATAAATACGAGCTTTTACTCTCAGAGCATGTTATGGCTGGGCATGCTTCCTAAGGTTCTTCTCTGTGACAACCCTGTTCAAAGAGAAGAAAACTGAGGCACAGAAGTTCAATGACCACACCCAGTGGCACCTGGACACTGCAGGACTAAAACAAGGCCCGAGTCCAGGGCTCCCTGGAGAGGGCCTCTCCCTGATTTGAGAGCCTCTGAGGGCACGCAGCTCTGGCTGGAAGCCTGGTCAGGAGGAGCAAGGGGCCAGCCTTCCCAAGGCAGAGAGGCGGCCAACCACCTCAGCCGGCTTGCGCTCAGGGCGAGCCCAGCAGTGGGGGGCAAGCGTGGGGCTTCCCCTCTGGGGCCTGCAGTCTCGTTTCCTCCTGCTTTGTCCAGGGCGGCCTCAAGTCTTCCTGTGCGGCCTGAGCCCCTGGACAGGACCAGGTGGCCTTGAGCCTGCAGTACAGACATGTGACCCACAGCAGTGCCCTTACCATTCTGTCATCGTTCCCAAAGAGGATGAGTCCCTCTTTGGTGACCAGCCCTGGACGATGGGCTCCTGGGATGGGCAGGGCTTCTCCCTCAGCTACCGGGCCTGAAGTGATCAGCGTTGAGTTGAAAAATGTCAGCTTCTGTTGAAGGCAGGAAAACCAGAAGACGGTGGATGAGCAGAGACCAGCAGCCCAGGCAGGGCTGAGCAGGGTGGGGAGCTGATGGAGACTGGAGAGCCACAGCCCCCAGGGCCCTGCCTCCAGAGGCCCAGACGAGAGCTGAAGGGGCTGCAGGTGCCTCAGGGAGCACTCACGCCCTGCGTGTCCCCTAACTCAAGGCATCACTGAGTGAGGACGCCCACCTGGGGATGCAGCCAGGCGCAGGTCCATTGGCAAAGGGTCTGTGGTAGTGAGGGCAGCAGAGGCTCCCGGCCTCAGTCTGCCCAGCCAGTCTGCGGTCAGGGCTTGGAGCAGTCCGGGGCTTCATGGAGGATGGAGCTGCACTCAGCGGGCTGCAGCCCAGGCCCCTCCTCAGGCTCCTGCCAGACCCCCTCGCCTTTCAAAGCTGGGCTCCCCACCTTCATCCAGCCCCTGGCCTGAGCAAGCTGCCCCTCCCCATGAGGCCAGGTGGAAGTCAGCAGGGGCCGCAGTCCCTGAGAGCTGTTCCATCAAACGCGAACGGAGACCAGCCTTGAAAATGCCCTGAGCTGATGAAATGAGGCTCGTCATACAAGCGAAACTTAATTTATTTTGCAAGACAAGCGAGGCAGCTTGACCAGGGTCATTCCTTACTTTATGCCTCCGGAAACCGTAAGTAAAATTTAAGCTGTTCTTCAAAAGTGAAATGAGGTGCCCTGTAACCAATTCCCTATCATTTAAGAAGGGTCAAACTTATAACCAACCCCCGTGAAGAGCAGTTGCTGGTTCCTTGCTAGCGGAGCTGCCGTGACGCCCTCCTAGGGACCCTTGTCCCAGTCCAGTGTGAGTACTCCCGGCTCTCAGGCTCCTTTGGCATGTGCACACAGAGCTGGTACTCATCACCACCTTCAGGGCGTGTTGGTTCTCCTTGGCTCTCTGAGCTTTACACAGAGCCGAGGGATGACAGCAGAACATCTTACAGCCAGTGACCCTGGTTGCTACAGGTCCTGGAGGCCTGGAGCTCTGCCGGATGTTTACCCCTCGGGTTGGTGGTGGTGGGGTCTCTCAGGACCAAGGTGGCTGGGGACACTTGAGTGGGGCTGGGGGTCAGGACAGTGGCTATCTACCCACTGGTTCACCCATACTTTGATGGCTTTATATCCAGGGGTACCCACCAGTGCATGCAGCCCGATTGCAGCCCCACATGAACACACCTGCCCGCAGGCCTCTGTCCAGGCACCAGGCACCTTGTCATTCCCACGGATCCAATTATGAATGGCCACTGCTGGCTGCTCCCAGTTGATCTGTGGGGCAGGATGGGTGTGCTCAGCCAGTCTCTCCCTGCCCCCTGGCCATCTGGGCAGTGGCTCTGGGCTCCCCTGCCCTCCCCTCTGCCCTGATGCCCCAGCTGTGGGAGGAGCCCTGGGGAGGAAGCAGGAATTTGATGTGCATCCTTGAGTTGGGCAGGGCCTGTCTCTGGTGCCCCGGGCCTGGGTGCTGTCTGACCCCCAGTCTCCCACATGTTGCATAAACTTCAGGATGGTTCAGGGGAGAGAATGTTATGTTGTTAAGATGGCCAAACCTTACAGAGAGTCCCCAGCACAAAGGCCCATCCCACATCTTCTCCTTGCCTAGAGGCCTACGGAGATCCCACACAGCACCCCATATGCTCTGAGCAGAGATACAACCCATAGGAACTGAATTATCTCGTGTACCTTCTTTAGAGACCCCCAGCCCTACAGCTGAGCTTTATGCACACCCCGCTGTGCCCCAGCTCTTCTCCCTGGGGGTCTCACCTGCCCATTCTTCCTAAAGAGAAAGAACCCAGAATGGAGCCCGTTCCCCACCTGGTCCAGAACTTTGCCCATGCCTCTCCCACTGGGAAGCTTTCTCTTCTGGCCTTAAAAAGTCACAACCTGGTTACCAGCTGAAGCTCTGCCTCCCAGGACCCCCCTGCGGCCCAGCTTGCATACAGCAGGGCTGGGTGGGCAGGGCCGGCACTTACCTTGGCTGTTTCCTTCTTCTGGATGCCCTCATAGGTGGCCCCTTCCTCAGGCTGAGGGCACCTAGGGGCTTTGCCCTCGGCAATCAACCTCACAGCCTGCACCTAGGGAGACCAGTTTGGTCAGCGTCCCCAGCATTAGGACCCTCCCCTCACTCCCTGCCCAACACTGGCCAGACGTGCCTGGCACCGTGCCTGGCACACAACAGACACCCGAAGAGGATCTGTCCTGTGAACAGGTGCAGTCAGCCTGAAGCAAACTCCAGTTTGAACACTGAGCACAAAACCCTGCCCTCTCTTCCTACTCAAGGTTATACAAAAAATTATACAGATCTTGGATTTCCTGAGATCTTAGAAGATAATGTAAACTACAAAGGCCTGTATGGGTATAACACCATAAATTTCCATGTTTTTGTCTAAAAGCTTCCCTGCCTTTTAAGGAGCCAGGCTCTATGATGGGTTTGGAGGTCTGAGATTAAGCAGAAAGCGCTTTCTCTGGTTAAAGGAAAGGAGGAGGTTGTGGAAGAAGGAATAAGGGGAGGGTGGGGGAGTCTGGTGCCTGCCCTGGAGGGGAGCACCCCAGAGATGCCAAGACCGAGAAGTGAGGAGGGTATCAGAACCATCTAGAGCAGGGCTGCCCGGTAGAACATTCTGTGGCCATCAGCCATGTGCAGTTACTGGGGACTTGAAATGTAACTCATGCGAGTGAGGAACTCAATTTTTAATTAAAATTCATGTAAATTAATTTAATAGCTACACGTGATTAGCAGCTCCAGTAGTATACAGCACAGCCCTAAAAGACGTTTTCAGCTGTTTTCTGTGAGTTGGGCAGGTACCTCCCACGTCTGTCTCTCATTTCAAATCTCCAGGAAGTCCTCACCTGACACAGTACATGTGCTAATCCTGCCTCTTTGAAACCTTGAAATGAGAGCTCTCTCCCTCCAGAATCCTGCAACTGGGAGAACGGATTCCCAGCCAGCTCTGGGGTGGCAGGCTGGGCCGAGAGAGGGCGCAGGGTGGGCAGGCCCGTGAGGCTCGGCCAGCTCCCAGCCTTACCATCCCTTTGACACCTTCGGGGAAGAGGAAGCGGTTGTACAGCGTGCTCACGGTGTCGTCCGGGAGGACCTCACACTCCTTCTGGAGCAGAAGGTCCCCCGTGTCCAGACCATCATCCGCCCAGAAGATGCTAAAGCCCCCTTTCTTGTCTCCATGAATGAGGGTCCTAGGGAAGAGTGAGACCCTGAGTCCTGGAGGAAGGGCCACAGAGGAGGACAGCCATGGCCCCTGCCACACTCCAGCACACCCCCTTCTTGCCCACCCCCAGGAAGGTCCACCACCTGATCTGGCAGAGCTGGGAGAAGAAAAACAGTATCTGTTGATGCAACCGTGTGCCAGGCATTGTGGTAAGAGCCACTTTATGCCAGATGTAACTTGATCCTCCCACAGGTGTAATAGGCATTGCCCGCCCCTTCACAGATAAGGAAACCGAGGTCCAGAGAAGTGAAGAGATGCGACTAGAGGTCAGGGAGCCTGAATCACAGTCTCACTGCAAGTCCACTCTTTCCCAGCTCAGGTGTCTCCCCTCCCTGCCCACACATCAGACACATCATCCCACTTAATGTCTCCTTCGCACTGTCACCTCAAACCACCTTATTCAGACCACACTTTCTCCAGCTCTCCCCTCTGCACCTGGGCTGCTGTTATTACGGCTGTGGGCAGACATTAGAGCAGGCCCCCAGCTGCACCACCGGGGAGAGTGCCCTCGGGTGGGCCCCTTAACCCGCTCTGACCCCTGAGCCTGCCACAGGACACGCTCACTCTGCAGTCTACCAGAGGGGGGCAGGGCGCTCAGCGATGCACATCCCCAAGTCTCTGAGGCTTTCTCACTCCAAAAGATGGCTCTGCAGCAATCCGCGGTAGGGTGCCATCTGGCCATGCCGGACAGGCTCCCACATGATGCCTGCTCGGTGACCCTGGTGCAAAGCTCCAGGAAAGGGAGGGGGACAGTTCAGCCAGAGGGGGGTGCTTTCACCCTGTCTCACCAGTTGATGGCCGAGGCTCCTCGGTGCCGGGGCAGCAGACTGGGGTGGTAGATGATGGAGCCATGGCGGGGGGCATTGATCACCTCCATGGGGATGAACTGGCTGCAGAAGGGCAGGACGTTGAGCTCAGCACCCAAAGCCTGGTATTTCGCCACCACGTCGGGCAGAGCCTGTCCTTTGGCCCGCCAGCGGGGGAACTTGAACACTGGTACTCCATCCTTCTCGGCCTCCAGGCCTGTGGGGCAGCAGGTGAGAAACCAGTCCTTCCCTGCACCCACTCACCCACGCCATCTCTGCCTGCCCAGCAAGGTGACTCCTGCACCTCTCTGCTGGCTCGTCCCTGCCCCTCCCCACCCCACCAGGCTGCACAGAGGAGACAGCACCAGCCAAGGGCCAGGTTTCTGGGTCTGCTCTAATTGCACTAATTTCCGCTGAGCACCAGGGTGTCTGAGCACCTCCCTCTCCTCAGCTCCTTTCTGACCCCGGCAGCTGACCCTCACCTCACCCGCTACTGCAGCCGCACCACGCCTGGCGCCAAGCCCTGGCTCTCCACCCTTCCACTGCTCTCTAGGATGGCTGCTGGACCCACACACAGCAGAATTGCCTTGCCAGCTGTTCGCTGTTAAGTGCTGCCAGTGGGGATGCCGGAAGGAGACTGAGATGCTGGGGGTGGGTGGGGGCTGGCTCCTTCCAGTGTGGTCCCTATGCTGACAGGACCTTTCCAGAGCAGCGGCACATCAGTTTGTGGTTTTCCCAATATCTGCAGAACTAGCCTCAGCATGCACCCCTGCCCACGGTGTCTGCACCCCAAGGTCCAGGTCCCAGCCTACAGGGCCCCTCCTCCTGCCCAGGTATAGCACCCGTGAGCGGCGACTGCGGTCTCTATCTGAATCACAGCCCCCAAGCTTCCGGGTTGAGTAGTTACAGCTTCTTTCCTCTTTGCCCCACCACAGAGGTGGCAGCTGCCTCCCACAGTCACTGCCCTGATGGCCTGGAGCCATTGCGCCTGCCCCTCTGTTAGAACACCAGCATTGACGACCGTACCCTGACTGGCCCTGGCCCACTCTCTCGCCCCCTCTGCCTCTGCCCTGTGTCCAGGTTGGCCAAGGGAGGGTGGGATCAGTGTGAGCAGACTGCAGTGCTCACAAGAGCTGTCTCTGCTGTGACCATAGGAATACTTCTGCAGGCCATCTGAGGTCCAGGTCAAGTACAGCCCCACCAGGCAGAGGCTGCTGTCAGTGGTCACTTAGTGGCTGGGGGCAGAGCTCAGGCTGTGTTACGGGTCACACTGGGGTGCCAGTTGGCCCCTGAGCACGGTGAACCCGCATGGTTGCCTGCAGCCAGGGTCACCCACGGCCCCACCACGAGACCTTGCGGGCTTCTGCTCCCACCCCACTGCGCACAGCTTTCTGCCTGCCTGGGCATCCCTTTCCCTGCTCCTGGGCCACCCACTCACCCAGAGGGTCTGCCTTCCCGTCCTTGTCTGGAACAGTGAACACGCCCACAACCTCGTGGCCGTCCTTTCTCAGGTGGCAGTAAACCTCCTGGCCGAACAGGCTCTGCCCGATCACTGCGATCCTCATGGCAACAGTGGGGGTCGAAGGACCTGAGGAGGGAGGAAGGCTACGGCATCAAACAGGGCATGCTGGCCTCAGGGAGGCCAGCCCACCCCAACCCTCAGGCCCCTTCTGGGAGACTGTCACTCTGCCAGGGCCAGAGAAGGTGCTACATTGGTGGGATTTAGGATGCCACAGGGGATGAGTCACACGGACTGTAGCATTACAGCTCCTTCTTGAAACCCTCCACACTGCCATGGAACACTGAGATGGATGCATTTGAGCCTATTTCTATGACTAGCCGGTTCTGTGACCTTGAGCAAGTCATGTCAGTTCTCAGTTTCCTCATTTGATGACCAGAAAGATACTTTGTGCTTCAGTTCAGCGTATGTGTCAGGCGTATCCCCCCAGCCAAGCTGCAGCAGGGGGCCCAGGCCCGAGGGCCTGCCCAGCAAGGCCTCTGGGAGAAGTGTGCCAGCGAGGGCCCTGCGCCCTGAAGCAGGGAAAGGAGCCTGGGACAGCAAGCCCCAGGGGCTGGCCGAGAAGGAGGGCATACAGGGTGACATAGAGCCCCATCATGCAGATGCCTCCAAAGCTGGACCCTTTATTCACTATGCTCATATCTGGAAACCCTGCCATCCACCTGACACGTTCCTAAAATTGTCCATTAACAGAAAAAAATACACATATTTTTCAGAAAATTGTATCGAAGTATTATATTACTTCATACAAGCAGAAACGTGCACAAAATCATAGGTATGTAGCTGAATGCATTTTCATACACTGAACACACCCCTGTAAACAGCATTCAGATAAATACTCCTGAAGCCTATATATACATGCAAATATATATTTATATATAATTACATGTATAATAAAACACATATTTATATGTTAATATAAATAGAATCATACAATGTAATGTTCTGTGGATTTTATACAGTGTAATGTTCTGTGGATTTTATGCCCCTCAACATTATCCATGTTGTATTATATTGGTTCTCATTGCTGCATGGCATTTCATTGTGTGAGTGTAAATAAACACATTTATTTATCCATTCTGCTGCTGATGGGCATTTGGGTAGTTTCCAGTTTGAGGCTTTTACTAATAGGGTTACTGTGAAGATTCCACCACATGGTTCTTACTGAAAATAGGTACACATTTCTGTTGAGTATGTACTTAGGAGCAGAGTTCCTGGTTCCCAGTTTTGAGACTGTTCAGACTTAACAGATTCTGCCAGTTTTCCAAAGTGGGTGTACCAATTTCTACGTTCATGAGCTCTGTATCATGGCCTTGTGCCTTTTCATTTCAGCTATTTTGCTCGTGAAATATAGCCATCTCACTGGGGTTCAGTTTGATGATGACTGATGCAGTGAGCACCTTTTCTTATCTTTATTGGCCAATTGGGTATCTTTTTGTGGAAACGCCTGTTTAAGTCTTTTGTTTACTTTTGCCATTGGGTGGTCTTTTCCTTATTGGTTTGCTGGAGGTAGCTTGTCTATTTTCATTTTATTTTGTTTATAAATAATCTAGACTATGAGTCCTCTGTTGGATGTATTTATGAAAAATATCTTCTCTAATTCTGTGGCTTGGGTTTTTCACTCTTTTAGGGTGTCTTTTGATGAACACAAGTTCTTAAATTTAAATAGTATGCTTCATCAAAATTTCCCTTTATGGTTAGTGGTTTTGTATTCCAATTAAGAAATGTTTGCCTACATTTAGTTCATGAAGATGTTCTCACTGTCTTCTAAAATCTTTGTTGTTTAACAAAGGAGCAAAGTCTCTACAACGAGGCAAAGACAGTTTTTCAGCAAATGGTGCTGCAACAACCAGATGCCCACATGTGAAAAAAATGAATCTACTACAGACCTTACACCTTTCACAAAAACTAAATCTAAATGGATCACAGATCTAAATGTAAAATGCAAAACTAAAAACCTCTAGAAGACAAAGCAGAAGGAAACCCAAATGACCTTGGGCATGTGACGGCTTTTCGATGCAATCCCAAAGCCATGATTCATGAAAGAAAACTTTGGTAAGCTGCACATCATTAAGATTGTTTAAACATTTTCTGTTCTGCAAAAGACATTGCCAAGAGAATGAAAAGATAAACCACGGGTGGGGAAAAAATCTGCAAAACACATATGTGATATGAGTAATGTCCAAAATATACAAAGAATTCTTAAAACCCTGCAATAAAAAAACAAACAACCCAGTGAAAAAAACAGGCCACCGGCCAGAACAGACACCTCATCAAAGAAGATATACAGATAGAAAAACATTAAAAAAATGAAAAGATGCTTTGCATCATGTCATTAGGGACTGTAAATTAAAACAAGGTACCACTACATACGTATTAGAATGACTAAAATCCATAGCACTGACAACACAGAGTGCTGGTGAGGATGTGGAGCAACAGGAACTCTCAAACTTCGTTGGTGGGACTGCAGAATGATAGTCACTTTGGACAGTTTCTTAGAAAATTAAACATGATCTTAGAAAAAAAATATGACCCCACAATCACACTTCTTGGTGTTTACTCAAAGGAACTAAAAACATGTGCACACAAAAACTTGCACACAGGTGGTTATGGCAGCCTTATTCATAATTACTAAAACTTGGAAGCAACCGAGATGTCCTCGAGTAGATGAATGGATAAGTAAACTGTTGTATGTCCAGACAATGGAATATTATTCAGTACTGAAAAGGGATGAGCTATCAAGCCATGAAAGGAGGAATTTTAAATGCATATCAATAAGTGAAAGAAACTAATATTGAAAAGTTACATACTGTATAATTCCAACTTTAATATAGTCTCAAAGTGGCAAAACTAGGGAGATAGTGTAAAGATCAGTGGTCACCATGGGCTGGGAGAGGGGAGAGAGGGATGAACAGGAGTTTTTTAAAGTCATTTACTGTAATGGCAGATGCAGGTCTTCATACATTTGTCAAAACCCATAGAATATATAACACAAAGAATGAGCCCTAATGTAAACTGTAGACTCTAGTTAATAATATTGAATCAATATTGGCTCATCAGAATAACAAATGTAGCACAGTAATGCTAATGTAAGATGTTAATAATAGGGGAAAGGGTGGTTCCAGGGGAGGGGTGTGGGCCTGAGGGGTGTATAGGAACTCCCTGTGCTCTCTGCTCAATTTTTCTGTAAACCTAAAATCGTTCTTTAAAAAAAAAAAATTCATTTAAATAAATAAATCTAGCTCTATAGTCCACATATTACTCCAAAATACAGTTTGGAGTGGGTTAAAGAAATTTTAAAAAATCAAATACAGGGAGAAAACATTAAATTATTAGAAAATGCTGGTAGGTACTGGGCTTTACAAGCCTGGCACTAAAGGAGAAATATAAAAGAAAGTATGTGATAAATTTTCATACATGAAGATGCAATTTGCTAGAAGAAGAGAAAAAAATAACTTACTTCAATAGGCAAATAAAAACCTGTTCACATCACAAGTAATAAAAAATACATAATAAAACAAGAGACTATTTCTCTCCTTTAAGATTAGAAAGATTATAAATATCTGATGTTGGTTAGGTTATAGGAAAATGGTCACTCTTCACATAGCCCTGATGGGACAATAAACTGGATCAAATTCTCTGGAGGCAAATTTGGCAAAAAATATCAAAATCCTAAAAATGGTTCAACATTTTCACTGATAAGTATGTTTGGACAAACAAATAAAAATATGGGTATTTTTGAATTATGAGTGACTCGCACTGCATAAGCCATCAGCTAGTTAGAAAGGGCAGCTCTCTCTGTTTCATGCCAGGAACACCTGAGCCAAAACATCCCAGCAGGTAACAAAACACTACAATTTTTTAATTATGTGCATGTTTGTGTACATTTGTGTACTTGGAGTGCAAAAACCCGGATTCACACAGAAATGTCTGGGCAGAGGTTCTGGAGTTTGGGGAATTTTCAGTGACTGCGATTATCTTTTTCTTTCCCGAATGCTTTTTCTATATGGAGCATGTATTACCTGTGGAAAAATAAAGGGGTATTAAAAAGACCCCTTTGGAAGCAGGAAGGCAGAGTCACAGTAGCTGGTGGAGCTGTTGCCACAGTGCAGGGAACCTGACCTTGGCACGGTCAGGAGCGCTGGGCGGGGCCTCAGCTGACCCATAGCTTTGGCCCCAGACACCTCCAGAGTGGCAGGGGGCGGGGCCGGGGAAGGGGTGTCAGCGGACCGCTTGGTCACGTGGGCAGCCTCTGCGCCTGTGCCACCCGCCTGAGTTGGCACCGCTCAGTGCCCTTGCCCCCTGCGGTGCGTGAGGACGCTGTGCAGTTGCCGGGTAGCAGGACTGTCAAGGGCTTTCCAGGCCTCCTACCCCAAGCACCCAGCCCAGCCTGGCTCCCCAGGACCCAGCTACCAGCCCCTGCACCAGCTGGGCGGCGCTCTGTTCACGCGCTTGTCCTGGGGCGCACGGAAGAACGCGGCTCCAGCAGCGGGGCAGAGGTTCAGCCGGGCCGGGGCCTTCAGCCACAAGCGTGCCATTCCCCCAGCTGCCTTTGGGGGCACCCAAAGCTGAGTTCCCTCCTGCAATCAGTCAGTTGCGCTGGGCACCCTGACAGGGAGGATACTTTGCCCGCCCCCTTCCACCACACACACAGCTGGGGATCCCTGGGGGTCCACTGTCTTTCCCATGGTCCTGGGCACGGGGAACAGGCCACGAAGCAGGCTACCTAGACCACCAGGTCAGGTCCTGGGTTCAACCTTGGCGAATGGCTTCCATCTGTGAGCCTCAGTTCCCTTGTCTGCACATGGGATGGCACAGGAGTGCATCCCAACACCGCTGTGAAGGCTAATATTGACAGGAAGAACAGAGGGCCTCTTAGGGCCAGACGTGGCACATAATCTCATGCTATTCTGATGCAGCCCTTGCAACTGAGGTGCTATTATTTATCACCCCTGCCAACTATAGCCAAAGAAACTAAAATATAGAGATTAAGAAACTTGCTCAAGGTCGCGGAGAAACCAGGGAGTAAAAAAGAAAACTCCAGAGCCGGCACCTCTAACCCTAGGTCTGAGAATACTTAAATTCTGTCTCTATCCTTAGCTGGGGTTTAGGGGAGATTCCTGTCTCTCTTAGGCAGGTGGCCAGTGAGGGGCCCGAACAGGTGCCCGGCTGGTCTGGACTCTTGAGTAGCGGGGCCCCAAGAACCACGTCGTGGGATCCGGCTGCGGCTCCAGGGTAAAGGCTCTTCCCGCGCAGGAAGGGCGGCGACCGCGGGGGCTGGGAGTTCTCCAAAGAGGCCCCTTGCCGATCCGGATTTGGCCAATCACAGGGGTCTCTCCCAGTGCGGAGGGTGAGGGACTTAAGGACGGGGTCGGAGGGCCCAGGGGCACAGGCTATTCCTCCCGCACGGACGAGCCGTGCCACCCTTGGCTTTCGCTCCCTGAGCCTCAGCGTTCTCCTCGGTGAGCCCGGCGGATAACACCCGCCCTGCAGTGGTGTGGGCTCTAAAGCGCCCTGCCCGCCGCCGCGGCCGCCCCTCGGCCAGCCCAGCCCCCGCGTCGCGATCCTTTGGCCTGAGGCCACCAGCTGGAGGCCCTGCTGCCCCAAGAGGAACCCAGGACACGACCCCAGGCCGGGAGTCCCCGCGGCGAGGCTCGCGCGCCCCCCAGGAGCCCCAGCTGGGGTATCTGCGCCCCCAGAGTCGCGAGCTGGGTTGGCCTCCCACCCTCAGGGCGTCGGGCGCGCTGGGGCTCACCAAGTGCGGAGGAGGCGCAGGTGTCGCGGACCAGAAGGGACCTCAGACAGCCACGGTCTGGAGATGGGGGCTGGCTGGCGCCTGTTCTGGGCGGTGGAGAGGTGGGACCGCCCCTGCCGTTCCCGAGCCGCTGCCAAGGCTGAGGCCAGAGCCAGGAGAGGAGGGGCGCAGCGCCAGAGGCGAGGGGGGCGGGGAGGGCCTCACTTCTGTGCAACCCCGGCTGGCGGCCACTCCCGCTCTCGGGGCCTGCCTGCGTTCAGAGGTGAGAACTTGCTCTGGACCCTTCCAGAATTCACAGGGCTTTGGAAAGGCGGGGGGCAGGTGGTAATGAGTACCTGCGATGCTGAGCTGGTCAGAGGAAACTATCCCCAAGCCTGGCCATTTCATTCACTCACCCCCTCAGTCCGTCATGCCCGAGAGAATAATGTGCCAAGCTCCTAAGGTGCCCAGGTCCTGGGCAGAGCTGAACAAGATCCTTGCTTGCCCTCTTAAACTTGGAGTCACCTGCAAGAGACAGTAACTGTGTGGCTGGTGGCTCTCTGGGTTTCTGTCTGCCCAGTGCACCCCCTCCCCTCCGGGGATGCCCCTCTCCTCCTCTTCCCTTCCACCTATCTGGGTGCCACTCACCCTCTCCTCGGGCTCCCCACCCGAGCAGTCCTGTCTCAGACAGGGTTATCAGCCCCCTTTGGGCCAAGGAAAGTGTCAGAACAAACAAACAAAAGGAACACAGAGAAGGACAAATCTGCACATTATTTCCTGAGCACAAGTCTTTGCCTAGGTGGTTCTCTCCACTGGGAATGCCCTTCCAGCAACACTGCCTCTGGATTCCTCTCTGCCCTCCCTCCCCGTGCTCTCCTGAGCTCCGCTGCCTGGCCCCTGTGCTTTGCCTGACTCTGGCAGGTTTGCTCCCGCCCCAGGGCCCTTAGGACCTTCTGCCAGAACGCACTGCACCTCAAACACCGCAGGGCCCGCCCCTCTCTCACCTTTCCACGAGCAGCTCGTGTATCAGGTAACTGCTTCAGAGCCTTTGAGCTGCTCCAGGTCACACAGATTAAAAAAGTCTCTCAGCTGCTGCCCATCACCTCCGCCTGTCTTATTTTCTCCCCAGCACTTACTGTTCATTGTTTATTATCTGTCTCTCCTGCCAGACCACAAGCTCTCTGAGGGCAGGAATCCTGTGTGATGTATTCACTGCTGTACATCGATACACAGGGACAGCACAGAGTGGAAGCTAAATGCTTTTTGAAAGCTTTAATGCCTACATGCCAGGATGAGCACCCAGGATCAGGTGACCTGTCCCTTCTGAGCCCTCCAGCCCATGCTCAGGAGCTGTCCCCTTGTTCCTTCTGCTCCAGCCTCCAGGTCTCCCCGCTGTCCCTCGTTCACACTGGCCTTCTTGGCTCATGAACTTCCCAGGTGCTGCTCATCTTCTTTCTCAAGGGAATCGCAGCCATACTTCTGGAAGCTCCTATTTAAATGTCACATCTTCAGGGAAGCTGTCCCTAACCACACACCCATTAGGACAGTCCCCCTCATTACAGGGCCACAGAGGGGTCTCTAGTTTTCCTTCATGCAACCCCACAATTGCAGTGTTATCCCTGCTGCTGGGATCAGTGGATTGGCACATCTCCCCCACTCGGACATGAGGGCAAAGACTGTCTTGGTCCTTAGGAATTTGGTAGGTGACATGGGCCACTGAAAGAATGGCTTGGAGACTGGGCACACCGATCAGGTGTGAGGAGATCAGAGAAGCCGTAGTGCTTGGAGCTGTATGCAGCAGGAAAGGAGGGGAGTCGAAGCAGGAGCTGGCAAAGCTAGCACCTGCAGTGACATGCAAAGTAGAAAATGTGCAACTTTCACCGGGTTATCTGGCAGAAGAAGTTTCTAGGAAGAACGTTGAAGGAATCTCCAGGCTTCTTCTTGCTGCTTATACTACAATGTGAGAGAAGAGAGAGGAGCCAGAAGAAGGGCTGGTTGAGATGCAAAGATGCAGGACCTTGAGCTGATGCTGTAGAGGCATGACACTTCTGCGGGGTGTGGAGGGGTGTGTGGGAGGGCTGTACTGTAAATAATCCGGGGCCACTGCATGGACTGTGGTAGTTTTAAAACCCTTCAACAATCCCCCCGGTCAGGAGGAGGAGGAGGTTCCTGGAGCCCTTGAGTGTGGGCTCAACTTAGTGACTTGCTTCTAACAAATGAAATATGGTGGAAATGATACTATATGTCACTTTCATAGACCAACAGAGACACTGGGCCTAAGGTCAGAGAGTGGCAGAAGCCAGCTCTTCTATTCTGAGCTCTGTGATGCTCTGTGGATGCATCACGCTGCCCTGTTCACAGTGTCAGTCCCCTCACTTCATTCCTCTGAGTGGTAGTCACGCTTCAGGGGACAGCTTGTGTTTTATCCCTTTTGGGGAAGCCCTGCCACCTTCCTCCTCTGGGGTTCTTGCAGTCATAATGCAGATGCACTCTAATAGAATATTCCTCATGCTTGCTTGTCTGTCTGTCTCTCACCTGCAAGTCCCTAAAGAGTAGGGACAGGTCTGCTTCATCTGTGTACCCAGAGCCCCGCTTGGGTCCTGCCACAGAAGAGGCATGGTGGCTGAGTGTGAATGGAGTCTGCATCTGCTCAAGCTTTCTGCAGGCCCCTTGGTGGCTGGGAGGTCGGGGGGCTCAAGCAGAGGAACCGGGGATGTGTCTGCTGCTCCGATCAGGGGCTGTTTAGAGGGTGAGTCTGGCTCAGGGCCACATGGGCAGGTGACCAGACAGAGAGATGGGTTCCCTTTCTGTTGTATAAGGATGATTCAGCTTACCCTTTGGGACACAGTAACTGGATACTGTGTACACTGCAAAGGAAACATTAACTTGCCAAGGTCTATGGCCTTCAGCCCTCAGGAAATCAAAGCAGGCAGGGCGTGTGGCCTGGACTTTCTTTGCAAATTTTGGGCCAGTGTGCTCTTTGCTCCACGGAAGCCACACAGTGAGATCACCCCCACACTTCTACCCTGCCTTGTGAATTACTCACAGTGTCACCTGCGGTCCTACACCTTAGAACCTCTCCCTGGTGGGAACCTCTAATTCAGAATGGCTTTCCTCAGCATTCTCCCTTAAAATGGCCAACATGTGGTTGTACATATTGTCTTAGTCTTCAGGCCACCTTAAGGAAATGCCACAGACTGGGTGGCTTATAAACAACAGAAACTTATTTCTCACGGTCCTGGAGGCCGAAAGTCGAGTCCGGGCTCCTGCACGGCTATGGTGAGGACCCTCTTCCAGGTCAGGGACTCCTCACTGTGTCTTCACATGGTGGGAAGGCTGGAGAGCTCTGTGGGTCTCATATAAGGGCACTGATCACCTCCTAAAGGCCCCATCTCTGCACACTCTCACCTTTGGGGGTTAGAATTTCAACATATGGATTTGGGGGGGCACAAACATTCCAACTCTGGTGCACAGAAATATAAAACTATGAGTCAGCCTTCATACCGCTCTGGGCCTTGAACCAGGATGCATCTGAGGACCTGCAATTACAAACAAAAACACTCCTAAGGGCCAAGTTGTTGGTCAGGAAGTTCCCAGCCATCCTTGGACTGCAGAGCCTGTGAGTCCATTGAGCCGGTGGACCCTTGTGTTCAATCAAACCTTGGGGCTATTTTGTGTTTGTTTCCCAGGCCCTGGCCACTCCTGGCCTGACGATAGCCCTGAGGAGCTCATTGCAGAGGAATAAATGTGGAATGGGGAAAGTCAGGCACAGTCTCCTTCCAGCCCTTGAAGCCCAGTGGGAGATGGATGTGCAGACAGGGCAGGTATCAAAGGAGGGAAGTGATGTGACCCGTGAGACAGAAGAGGTTCAGTGTGGGGGCTTGGGGTGCGCTGGTTTCCCTGAGAGGTTAAGGCCTGGTACGACTGGGATGAATTCAACTAGGAAAAAACAAAAAGATTCCAGATGGAGAGAAGAGTAAGAATGAATGAGGGGTGTATGGAGGTGGGGATGTCTGGGGGGGCCTGTGAGAAAGTGTGCCTCACCATGCAGCTGGTTGAGAGGAACTGAAGAGGACCAGGGTCAGAACCTGCAGCACGGAGCACGGAGTCTGCATTTCACCCTGAGGTCCAGTGGTAGCCAGACATATGATTTCATAGGCCAGGGCCATTCAGAAGCATTGGGGTAACTGACATCAGGTTGCTAACTTTTTATTTATAAGTCCCCCAGTCTGTGGCATCTTTTTTAAAAAGTCTTGAGAAGGAAGGAAGTTCTGCCGCAGACCACACTGTGGATGAGCCTTGAGGTCACTGTGCTCAGTGAAGTAAGCCAGTCGCAGGACACACGCTGTGTGACTCTGCTGCCGTGAGGTCCCTGGAGCCGTCAGAGTCACAGAGACAGAGAATAGAGCGGGGGCTGCGGGGGCTGGGGGAGGGGGTGGGCAGTGAGTGTTTTACGGGGACAGAGTTTCAATTTAGGAAGATGAAAAAACTGGAGGTGGGTGGTGGGGATGGTTGCACGACAAAGTGAAAGTGCTTAATGCCACCGAACTGCATGCATGGTTAAGATGGTCAGTTTTGTGGTTATTTTACCACAACTAATTTTTTAACAATTAATTTCTACTGGCCCCATCACAGTTTCATTATAAAGGCCATGTAGCATCAAAAAGCATGAAGGAACAATTTTCCTTGCTGAGAACTCTGTCCCAGCTCCCTCTGGTCCTGGGCCTGGCACAGGGGAGGCAATGCATTGCTCCGGCTCTGTTGTGGAGAGGCTGTAGGAGGCCAGTGAGCACTGATCCAGGGCACGTAGGGCAGTGTTGAGGGCCAGTGAGAGCAGAGCTGTTGCTACCTCGAGGTGCAAAGCGGTTGGAGGGAGGGCAGGTTGGAGAGAGGGCACGGAGCTTTCACCACACCAGGGAGGGCCGTGTGGAGGAGGGACTGTTGGCTAGGAGCTGTGACCTTGAGCAAGGACGGGACCCGCCACAAGGGGGAGCCAGGAGAACAAAGAGCCATATCCCTCCCTCCCTCTCTCCACCTCCTTCCAGGACTGTCTCTCTAATGGTTAAATCCTGGAAGTCAGAGACAAAGAAGCCAGTGGACGCAGTCCTTCCAGGTCAGACTCCCGAGCAGCAAGCAGCCGAAGGAAGGGTGCAGAGCGGACTGATGGGTGAGCTGGTACCGTCCAGTTAGGACAGAGCCCACCCAAGGTCACTGGAGGGAATCTGATACCAAGCAATAGGGACGCAAGTGTTAGAAGAGCTGAGGATGCAAGCAGGAAATGGTGAGGCAACCCAGAGATTAGCAGCCGACGGGACACTGAGGCCACCCTAAGGCCAGACCTACGGTGAGGGGAGACAAAGCTGCTGGCACTTCATGTCACCAAACCTGAGCACACACGTGCCCTTGCCTCTTGACCCTCCAGGGCAGTCAGCGCTGTTGGCCCCTGGGACAGCCGTGTGCCTGGTCGCCTGCTCTGCCTTGGACTGCGGAGCTCTGAAGTTGGAGTCACCCAGCAGAAGAACAAAAACTCAGAAGGGCCACCCAAGAGTTGGGACCAGCAGGGCTGCCCAAGGGGAGGTGGGATCAAGGAGGTGATGCATCCACTCCTGGGCATGCCGTCTAAAGCAGAGAGAAATGGGGGACATATCCTGGCTTTGACTCATCTTCTCCCCATCTCCCACCAGGGCCTCCCAGTGCCTGAGTGAACTGAAGACACTTGGCCAAGGGAGCCTAAGGAATGCAGTTTGCTGGGACCAGACACAGTGGAGCAGAGGGAAAAGGGGCGAGGAATCGAGTTGAGAGTGACCGGGCACATGACTGCCACAGGGTGTCAAGAGTGCTTGTTGACTGCTACACAGAGGTCATGGTGGGGAAGAAGCTGTGTGCATTAGGTCCAGCAACAGAGAGGGCATCGGATCAGTGACTTCATTGAGCACTGTCCCGAGTGACAGGAGTAGAGTCAGCTTGGAGAGCATGGGAGCAAGGGTGCATGAAGACATGGAGACAGGAAAAGGTTTTTAATGAGAGGGACTTAGAGGTAAAAAGCCAGAAGGCAGGACTCCACTTAGAAGGAAAAGTTGAATGTATGAGGAAGAAGAGGGAATTAGTAGTGTCTGTGGTTCCTGAAAAGGTAGGAAGGGAAAGCATCTAAAAACAGATTCAGGAAGTGGCCTTCAGTGCAAGGCAGGCAGACAGGAAGGACTGGATGGGATGGATATGTAAATGAAAGGGTGGGTGGGTGGATGGGTGGATGGACGGGTGGGTGGGTGGATGGATAGTTGGATGGATGGGTGGATGGATGGATGGGTGGGTAGACAGGTGGGTGGGTGGATGGATGGGTGGGTAGATGGTTAGATGGATGGATGGGTGGGTGGATGGGTGTGTGGGTGGGTGGATGGGTGGGTGGGTGGATAGATGGATGGATGGGTGGGTGGATGGATAGTTGGATGGATGGGTGAATGGGTAGATGGACGGGTGGGTGGAATGATGGATGGGTGGGTGGGTGGATGGATAGATGGGTGGATGGGTGGGTGGATGGATAGATGGGTGGATGGGTGGATGGGTGGGTGGATGGATGGATAGATGGATGGATGGGTGGATGGGTGGATGGACGGGTGGGTGGAATGATGGGTGGGTGGGTGGGTGAAATGATGGATGGGTGGGTGGATGGATAGATGGATGGTTAGATGGATAGGCAGATGGGTGGATGGGTGGATGGATGGATGGATAATGGATTTGTCTGTGTTTCATGTTGGTGAAAGATGGTAATCTCACCTCATGACTTTCCTTCTTTTTCTCCAAAGAACAAGGCAGGACCATCAGCAGAGGTGAGATGGGGACAGGGGTTGGCTGAGCAAGACTGAGTAGCCTGGGCAGTGTGGAGGCTCATTTGAGACTGGAGGTCACGAGCAGGACCAATCTATACTGTTCTGAGACCCCTTCCCAGCAGCACCAGGCTACTCAAAAAGCAGACACCAAGGAAAAGGAAACAGAGTTTGGGTTCATCTAAGCCTGGCAGTTTGTCCAGATGGTTTCAGTCAAAAACAAAGAGTAGAAGTGAACTTAGATTTTGAGCTGAACAAGGAAAATGCTGATGCACAAGAGAAATGGCAGAGGTCAGTGAGCTAGAGGTCCCTTAAAGCCAATGAGTGGCCATGCTGGAGCAGCTGGACCAGAGGCTGAATGGGAGAACAAGTGGACAGAAGAGGGAGACAGGGGCCTGAGTCAGTGGTTTTGAAACTGGAGGGGCCCCGGTGGCCACAACTGTCCAGAAGGGTCATGAGTAGCTTATTGCAGCAACGGTTCATTGGAGGCTGGCAATCGGAAAAGCCCAGATTTTTGTATTTTCTGTAATTGATGTTTGCTTAGCAACCAATTTTCTGTAATTGATGGTCCAGCAACCATCCTTTTTAATTGCTTAGCTTTCTTTCTCTACTTTCAACTTATTTTATTAAAAATTTATTATATTCCCTGTAACCCAGCCTTTCTACTCCTAGATATTTTACCCAGGAGAACAAATACATCCATCCGTACAGAGACTTGTTCACAGCTGCCTGTGGATCCTAGCCAAGAACGACACCACCCAAACACCCACCAACAGGAAAAAATAAACAAATTGTCATCTCCCCTCCGGCTCCCCCTTCTTTCTCCCTGTCCCTGTTCCTCCCTCCCTCCTCCTCACCTCACCCTGTTCACTCTTTGCAATTCATTTGTTGGAACAAAGTGAACTGTCCCACAGAGCTTCCTGCTGGATTTGTGGGAGGCGTCTCTTTGCTGTAAATTTGTAGCTGGAGCCGGAGGCACAGTTGGCCTCATTTGGTTTATTTGTGTTTGTCAGTAAGAATACTTCTGAGGTAGTACTGTCACTCTCATCGGGAAGCACACAGTGTCTGATTGTGTCTCTTTTAAATGTGTGTTGTCGTTGATGTTGATGGCCTGGATTTCATTTTACCAGTGTCACTAGCATCTCTCAAAGGTGACCAATGATTGCTCATGAGCCCCAGGATTTGATGTATCTTGTATTTCCTTCGCTTCCCACCACCACTCAACAGTGTAGGAATGACTGTACCAGCCCTACCTCCAGTTACACAAGATGGAATTCAATTCTTTGCAGTTATTTCCCCTTCTCTGCTATTGTTCGAATGTCCTGTCTTCAGCCAGAGGAGCCTCTTCAGGGCAGCTCCTGAGCAAGGGTGCCATGCCTGCAGGAGAGTCTGAAAGCTCCTTCCTTTCCAGTATGAGAGGTATGGCAGCTTCATTTTATGTGTCTCTCCCAGACCAGGAATTCGCTATTTCTCCAAAGCCCTGCACCCCCCAAAATGACTAAATTAGTATGTGCTCAGTGCTCAGAGAACTAGGAAGCACTTTCAGTAATATTGAATGTATCCAATGTTCATACTGAAACTTTCAGTTCAGATTTAGGCTGGCAATATTTTGTTTAACCGCTTTGATCTCACATCTGTATGGCTTTCCTCCCCTGCTGAAAATCCCAGTTCCCAAGGACATCAGTAGTTATAAGCATCTCCTTCACTGCGCCCCCACCACCACACAGCAGTGTAGGAATAACTGTACCGATGCTACCTGCAATTATTTGATGACTGAGAGGAGTTTCAGATGTTACTTGTGATATTCCTTTCACACCTGCACAGAACTCCACTGAGTGTGCACACCATCATTTCCTCAAGCTCATTGCTGAGTGCTGTGGCTCATTTTCTAGTGATTGTGTGTGTGTGTGCACGGCATAGTCAGCATTCTGCTGTCCGTCGGGGTTCAGTCCCCACCCTCCCAACAACCATCAATATTGTAGTTAATAGCCCTCTGTGCTGAAACTTTTTCAGTACGCTCGTTTTTCAAAGTTGAACTGCTGAGTTAAATGGCATGGACAGTTTTGGATCTTAATAGGTGTTAACCAAATTTGCTTGTTAAAAATACAATGTTTCACTCCCCTTGGACACCCCAGGTATGAGAGCAGGTGACCCGCCAGTGCTGGAGGTTATCTGCCTCCATTTTTGCCCATCACACCTGCAAAACTGGAACCTTACTGCTGCTTTAAGATTGTAATTCTCCGACCACCAGAGGAAGTTCCCACCTTTCACTATGTTTATATGATCTGAATTCCTCTTCTGCAATTTACCTGCATTTCCCTTTTTTCTCTTTGTCTTTTTATGGTCAATTTGTGGAAGGCCTTTGTGTATACAAGTCACACCCCTTGCTTACCTGCCTTGTGTCTCTTACTTTAAGATAGGTGAACACACGTGTGAGCGCACACACACGTGCACACACGCACATACACACATAGAGAAACTTGAGACAGTGTAGAGAAGAGATAGAGGCTCCAAATCATATGTTAATACCAGCCAAGAAATAAGAAAGGCTTTTACATTTTGAAGCAAGATTCCTGTGAAAAATGAATAATTTGAGACAGTCTAAAATAAAGGCACTGCATGGCCTCTCCCCCTGCTCACAGAAGGTGAAGTCAGCCTGTTCCTGTGTAGGAACTGGAGGACCACGGTGTCTGGGTGGGAAGGACCCACCTGATGCCACTGGGATGAATGGAAAAGCACACGTCCTTGCCACTTGGGAACACAGGAAAGGGGAGATACTGAACCTCGAATCCAAACAGGACATATACAAAGAAATGTGGATGCAAATATGTTCATCTTTTCAAAAGCAAGAACCACTGTACTCAAAGTTAGGACAGGAAATTTCTCTCAACCACATATTATATTCCCAACTCAAAGTGAAACACAGAGTGGAAGAAGCAGTTTGAAAGGCCAACAAGTGATGAAAATGTACACACACACACACACACACACACACACACACACACACTCTGCCTTCTTTCTTTGCAGCCACTGAAGTACATAATCCAGAAAAACAACAGAACAAACCAAGAAACAGCACAATTGGGATCAAGGACCAAGTGGGCCACTGTAAGAGGCCCCAGAAGGTGGTCTCAGGTTGACAGGCCCCTCCAGACAACAAGGCGTCCACACAGAGAGGGGCTAAAAGGGCAGAGTTGCCAGGTTCTCCCACAGGAGGAAGCATTTGAAAAAGCACGTCACTACGCACTGCACAGGTCTGATGGGGCATTTTGAAAAAATAAAAAACACAGATCAGTCTGCTGAAAATTGAGCAAATGTTTAAAACAAACTCTAAGAATGGCAAAAAGTTGGGCCAGAAAAAAATCACAGTATTGCCTCTGCCGTGTGCAGTACTACATAGGCATCATAGATCATTAATTTTACCCATTTCTCTATACCCATATTGGGAGATTGCGGGGTGAGGGAGCAGGGAAACACAGAGAAGGGGGGTTGCTGATAAGGGCTAAGCCTTCTGGCATGACAGACTCTCATAGCTCATGTCAAAAACTGCTCATCGAGCAATAATAGCATAAGCCTATCATTTAGAAATATTGACCAACTCAGTATTCAGATCACAGTTGGGAAATGTCTCCTGTGCAGCATGCACGGACCTGAGCACTGGGACATGTAGGCGAGCAAAGCCTGCCCATGAAAAATGACGTGATCACCATTCAAGGCAGGGCCAGCGGGCAGGCAGGAGGTGGGTGGGTGGCGGGCAGAGAGCTGGTTTTTCTGGTCACGTGCTTTTAGGACTGCAGTGTCTCACTGTGCCTACATCTTGTTTTTATAAGAACAAACATCAGTGATTGTGTCTGAACCTGTAAGCTGGCTCCCCCAATGTGCATTGCCACTCACTTTGTCCCTTGCACCTCTCTCCCCAGGGACTAGAAAAGTACAGGCAGGACTTCCCACCTCTTGCCACTCGGGTGGCTGTGGGCCCAGCCAGGTGGCTGTCCTTGGCAGGGCTGCTCCCTTCGTCCCACCCTGGGCCCCAGCCAGAACCTGGGGATGCTATCCCTCTGTCCCCACCCCTAGGAACACAGCCACCTGCTTGAGGTGTCAGAGCAGGACTCCCGAGTCTGTGTGGAGCTCCGGGCGGCCCACCAAACTGGGGGCAGTCTTCTTGGCTGGGGTCAAGAACCCCTTGGTTTGGCAGCGGTTGCAGGGTTCTCCATTACTTCTGCTGAATGCAGGTGAGGATGAAGAAGTCCAGGCAGGTGCTACAGAGAGGCCACCAGACTCCTGTGACCTGGTGCACAGCAGGGGTGGGTTCCATCACCTGTGTGGGGCTAGAAGCCAGCCCTGCCTCGCTCTGTCAGCCGCCACACTGGGAAATCCATTGCTAAAGCAACTAAGGGCTTCCTTTGTGGCCTGCCAGGTCCCCAGCAGGACCGCTGAGAGAGGCTGGCAGTGGGAGGCTGGGTACTCTGGCTCTGCTCTTTGTGGAGGACCTGGCACATCTCCTAAGGCTTTCCTGGCTACACACTGCAAGACTGAGATTGGGGCTAACGTGGGTGCTTCCTTACACCACACACAGGGAGTGGGGCCCTGCTAGAGGAAGGCCTTAGAGCCGGAGGTATCCCTAGACATTCCCTCTCTTTCACCTTTCCTCAGGTTCAAAGCGGTCCCAGTTTTGCCTGTTGGCCAGCATGAGATATGGTGTCACTGGTCCCCACACTACATGTCCTTTGTGGTAAAACACTCATGAAGTTGAGTGCTTGTTTTTGCAGAACAGGATGGACACATGGGGAGCTGAGCTGGTTCCTGGAGATTCAGTCCCCCAGCTCCCCAGGGGCCATCCTGGAGGCATGGGTCACCCTGAAGATCTGGGGCACCTCAGAGCTTTGCCCTGACACCCGACCTTCCTGGAAATCCATATTCTGAAGTGCAGGTGTTCAGGTGAGTGATAGAAGACACTTTGTTTAGCTGGTGTTGCAATGCTTGGCCTCCACTCGCCTCTGCTGGAGGTGGCAGGGCACAGATCAGTCTGCTGAAAATTGAGCAAATGTTTAAAACAAACTCTAAGAATGGCAAAAAGTTGGGCCAGAAAAAAATCACAGTATTGCCTCTGCCGTGTGCAGTACTACATAGGCATCATAGATCATTAATTTTACCCATTTCTCTATACCCATATTGGGAGATTGCGGGGTGAGGGAGCAGGGAAACACAGAGAAGGGGGGTTGCTGATAAGGGCTAAGCCTTCTGGCATGACAGACTCTCATAGCTCATGTCAAAAACTGCTCATCGAGCAATAATAGCATAAGCCTATCATTTAGAAATATTGACCAACTCAGTATTCAGATCACAGTTGGGAAATGTCTCCTGTGCAGCATGCACGGACCTGAGCACTGGGACATGTAGGCGAGCAAAGCCTGCCCATGAAAAATGACGTGATCACCATTCAAGGCAGGGCCAGCGGGCAGGCAGGAGGTGGGTGGGTGGCGGGCAGAGAGCTGGTTTTTCTGGTCACGTGCTTTTAGGACTGCAGTGTCTCACTGTGCCTACATCTTGTTTTTATAAGAACAAACATCAGTGATTGTGTCTGAACCTGTAAGCTGGCTCCCCCAATGTGCATTGCCACTCACTTTGTCCCTTGCACCTCTCTCCCCAGGGACTAGAAAAGTACAGGCAGGACTTCCCACCTCTTGCCACTCGGGTGGCTGTGGGCCCAGCCAGGTGGCTGTCCTTGGCAGGGCTGCTCCCTTCGTCCCACCCTGGGCCCCAGCCAGAACCTGGGGATGCTATCCCTCTGTCCCC